GGCATTTTAGCAGCTTACACCATGGTTGATGGTGTCCAGAAAGTCTAGCAGGATGACTTGGTTTAAGTACCTGGAAATTGTTAGGAAAAAACACTTGGACCCAGGGGAGTGGGGAGCCAACTCCAGGTGGATTAAAGAGTTAAATCTAAAAAATACAGAATTTTTTTTTTTTTAACTGAAAGGAAATGCAGTTGTATATTTAGGGTTCCTGAAAATGGGAAAAAGACTTTCTAAGCATAAAAACCATGAAGGGGAATCAAAGAAAGATCAGCAGAGTTGATAGTAAAAATTTTTGAGCCATTCTGTGTTAAACATCATAAACACAGTTAAAAGTCAAATAGCAACTGAGAAAAATATTTACAGAAAATATAACAGAGGGGAAATATCTTACTATATATGGTTGCAGATCAATAAGAAAAACGTTAACATCCCATAGGAAAATGGACAAAAGACATGAAGGAGTTTGCAATAGAAGAGATGCAAACAGCAGATAAGCATATGAGAAAACGGTGAACTTGGTTCACCATTTAAAGTAATTAAAGAACTTTATGTTTGAGAATGAGCTGCCGTTTCTCCCTAAACTTTTCTCATCATTGTTAATTGATAATGTTCCATGTTGATGATGTGCTCAGAAGGCAGGGACTGTCATGTTTTCCTGATGGAAGTATAAATTGCCACAATCTGCTTAAAGCAGCTTGATACTATAAATAAAGTGCCTTTAAGTTCATACCCTTAGATCCAGTTTTTCCATTTTAAAGGATTTATTCTAGGGACTTCCAGTGGTTAAGATTCTGCGGTCCCAATGTAGGGCGCATGAATTCGATCCCTGGTCTGGAAACTAAGGACCCATATGCCGCACAGCATGGCCAAAAAAAAAGAATATAGCCTAGAAATACACTCAGATGTTTTGCCCAAAATCTACTTGCAGTAGCTTTTTCTTTTTTTTTAAGTATTATTGGTATATTAAAATCTATTTCTAACTATGCATACCTCACTGCTGTATCCTCAGCACAGTGCCTGACCTACCCAAGTGGTCAAAAAATAATTTATGAGTTTAAAGGAGGAAGGATATGTTCATGCAAAGGAGTATTGTGTAACCATTTTTAAGAAAGACTGTACATCTAAGATGTAGGAACTGCTCACAGGACAGTGTTAACAATGAGTGCACAGTTGCATGTATACAGTATTCCCTGTGATTGTGTTGTAGGAATTCTGGATGATGGGATTAAAGGTGATTTTTATATCTTCTTGGTGCTTTTCTTCAGTTGTTCAGGACATAGTTGCTGATATATGAAATATGCATTGAGCATATTTCAAAAGGGAAAGACAGCATCGTCTTCCCCTCATGGAGTTTATCAGAGATCAAAGAGGCCGACATTGAATAGGTGTGTGTCATTTACTCTAGTGAACGTATGTTACTTTTATAGTAGGGAAAAACTATGCCAATGACGATTTTTAAGCACTGATATTTGTAATTTCTAAGACACCTTTTTAGGACAAGAAAGGCACAATTACATGAAAGATCTACATTGATCTCATACAGTGTGAAGTTTTCCTTTCCAAGGGGACGAAGAATGTTTAGATTTCTTATCTCTTGGGTGGTGTGTAATGATATGACAATAAATACATCCAGGCTCCCCCACCCCCCCACCCACTAAATAGCATTTTTCTAAGGGAAACTGAATAGATTCAGGTCTCGGTAAGAGTTGTGAAACTTTGGGAAAATCTCAACATTCATTGAAAAGTATAATTAAGCATTCAAATGAATTGACTATGGTTGAGGAGGGAGTGAGAATGTTGATTAACAATGTAAAAAAAAAAATGTTTTTTTTTTTTTTTTGCTTTTTCCATCTACTTGTGAGGTTTCAAGTGTGTGGGAAACCAAGAATGTCAGTAGCAAAACCCACCCTGAAGACTGACTCTGGCCCTACAAGTTTCTTTGAACCGGGATCAGGAATGGAAAATTTTATCCTAAGCCACGGCTTTTTAGGGGATGTGTTTTGTTTTGTTTTGTAGAAAGACCTGAGTAAATCAGAAGGGTTTCAGAGCCATGTTTGGGTAACAACCATGCTTAAGAGCCATGAGCTCGCTCCTCTAAACAGTCAGACCCATGCTTCCACTGTCGCTTATCCATTTATCAACTGAGCTCTTATGCTCAGCCACGTGAGCTCCTCTAGGCCTTTATCTGCTTCCTCGGTGGAAAAAGTCTCTGTGAACCTTGGTTGCATTGAAGGGTTGGCTGTGTGGCCTGTTGCTGCCCCGGTCTCAGGAGAAGGAAGCATCTGTGCTGCTTTGGTAGAATCCCCTGTCCTCTTTCCTGTCTGTCTCCTTCTGTGAATTATGGGGGGCTTCCCTGGTGGCTTAGTCAGTAAAGAACGCTCCTGTAGTGCAGGAGGCCTGGGTTCGATCCCCGGGTCGGGAAGTTCCTTCCTGGAGAAAGAAATGAGGAATGCACTTGGCTGAGCCAAGGGTGTTTGAAGGAATGAATGACGAGCAGCAGAGTAATGACATCATCTCTCCTGTGGATGTGCTGGTATCACCGTCTCCTTCGGGGACGGATCAAGGTAGCTCCCTGCCAAGAAAAGGCTCGCCCTCTTTTGCTCTTTGGTACAACTAAGGGTTATACTGGATGTGGTGTGTTTCAAACCACCCTGAGGCTTTCTCTCATTTGAAGAACTCAGATCTTAAAAATGGAGAGGGAGACGTGGCCCTGCTGAGCATCACATTCCATCCATGCTGATAGATCCCTCCTGGGTTTGGAATCCTCTTTCCCTGCTTCATGTTTCCAGATAGAGTTACAGTGCTCACCTCTTCTGTTCCGCTGGCCTTAGCACCTCCTCCTCCCCAATAATGACCTTTTTTTTTCATGTTTGGAAAACTGTTAAGGAGTTCCATTTATTTGGAGGACAGGGTGCCCGTGAAAGGGATGTAGGAGACGAAGTTAAAGAGAAGGAAGCAGGCAGGTCATCAAGGGCCTTGGGTGCCAGGCTAATGGATTTGAACTCCATCCTGAAACCTTTGGGATGTCATTAATGTGTTTTAAGCAAGGGAGGGGTATTCTGAGATCAGATTTGCATTTTATTACAATGGCTCTGTCAGAGCAACCCTGGATTAGAAAGTGCTGGCTCTTAACTCTCCTAACTTCTCCAAATCACTCCTTAACACCTGTCCTCTCGTCTCACAGACCTATGCATGCAGTATGGGCCTTGACTTCTTGGCCTCTGGCTGTTGGATATAGAACTCCTTCTTCCTAGGACATGCTTCTCTTTCTTAGTTTTTTTTTTTTTTTTAATTGAAGTCTAGTTGATGTACAGTGTTACCTCAATAATGCTTTAATGTTCTAAGAGATCATCATCTCAGGCTTGTCTTCCTGTTGTGTTAAGTGTCTTTACTGTCTGCTGCACTCTTCTGTCCCAGGGCTTGATTTATAGATTAAAGCCCCATTGTACTTCTGGGTTATGCAGAGGGCAGCAGCAGTTCTGTCTGTAGCTGTGTTGAACCTTGATCTGGTGACTAACTTTACAGCCTAAATCAAGGAGCCTTGGACCCTCTGATCTCATGAGCAGTGCACTGCCTTCTGATATCTTTTCTTCAGTAGGATGTACATCTCCTCTATCTGAGATCCTTTTTTCAGAGAGCACCCTTTTGCTTTTCTGAGATGGAGCTGGGCCACCTGCAGACAAGGTCACCTTCCCAGTGCTCTGTGGTTGGCTGAGGGGTCAGAGGTAAATGTTTTGGTGCTTGCTACTGGAAAGCAGAAGGTGGCAGACACAAAATCAGTCACTGAGACTGAAAGTTATTTCAAACATCGCTTGTGTCCTCTGCTTATGAAAGTTATGACAGTGCTCGACAAAGTCACTGCCAAGGGTTGGGGCCTGGAATCTAGACTGTTTATAAAAGTCCATTATTGTTTTGGTTTTTATTTTCCTGGGGGAAAGCATTGTAAACAGTTACATTCTCAGAAGCACCTCTGCAATAATAAACATAAACACAGCACTGCAGTGAAATCAGTCCTGCAGTAATTTAAATGTAAGTCTCTTGCACTGGAAGTGAATCAGATGAATGGGTGGGTCTGCTCAGAACGGAGTGAAGAAGTCAGGACACTTGGGTCTGTCCCAGTCCCAGTTCTCCATGTGCTCTCTCTTGCTGTGAGTAAGAAAGTTGTTTAACGTGCCCTTTGTCAGCAGTGGAGGAGGGACAACCCCCTGTGGGCCATATCGTTATGACATTGCCCGCGCGTCGACTTTGAGCTCTGGAAGAAAGGGGCAGTGTAAAGATGGGCATGTGCATTCTAGGTGCTCACGCGTTGCCCTCTGTCCTCCGAGGCGCACAGCCAGGTGCAGTTTAGCCGTGCTGCTCTGGTCACGACAGAGTCCCCTTCTGTGAGAAAGTCTGACTGTTGATTGTTCTGGAAAGAAACGAGGATGTGTCTCCAAAATATCAAAGTAGCTATAGGGAGAGTTGTGATCAGTTTTAACATAGATATTAATCAGTGAATTAGCATAAACTGTGAAAGGTGGTCAAAGCTCATCACACCACACCTTGTTTGAAAGCCTGTTCTCCTAAAACTATGTCAAAACACAGGGCGCAGAATAAGGCAGATGTAAAGAATTATTGTATAAATGACTTTGAATTCCTTCATGGGCCAGAATGTACTTTTCTGCAGTTTGGATGCTGATAATATGAATGCTAATAGCTAGTACACTGTACCTCATACTTGCTGGGCTCCAGGTGATTCACACATGGATCAGCTGAGGCTCACAGCAGCACTGTGAGCCAGGTGATACCTTCATCTTCGTGTTACAGATGAGTAAATTCAGGAACAGAGAGGTGAAATCACCTGCCCAAGGTCAGCCAGCTGCCAGGTGACAGAGCCAGTGAGCGGGGCCTTGCCATCTGGCTGAGTTGAAGTTGCCATTTCTCTGACCAATGTCACGTTCTGTTGCATCTTAATCACACGAGCCAAAAAAAAATTCAGTCCCGTGAATGCTGTTTTCTAGGAAGACAATGGAGACTACACGTATGTGGACAGAGTGAAGATACCCTTGGATCACGGGACCCTGTTAATCATGGAAGGGGCCACGCAAGCGGACTGGCAGGTGAGAACGTGCGAGTGACACGGACTCGCTGTCGTGTGGAGGCAGTTTCCCGACTGGCTCACGATGATTAATTTCTGTATTAAATGTGGTGAAAAGCAAGTTGCATTACAATGAGCACGAGGCAGTAAACTGACCCCATTTCCGAGGAGTTTGACACTGCTGACAGAATGGCCCCCTCGAGCAGCGCTGTCCAGTGGGCCTTCCTGTGATGAAGGGAGTGTTCTGTGTCTCTGCGGCCCAGTGCTCTCGCCGCTAGACACGTGACTCGTGATCCCTTGAGGTATGTCTGGAGTGCTGAAGAACTGCACTTTCAATTAAGCTAGAGCTTCAGGCAGCCAGTGGCTCTCACATGGGGCTGCACAGCTCCATAGCCTCGGCCGGGCCATTTTTAGGGTGTGCAAACTAATGGAAGAACACTTAGCATGAGCGGCGCATCTGGTGCCTCTCTGTGGTCCCAGCCATTTGTGTGTGGTCTTAGGAGCTTTGGGAAAATGGCAGGAGGCCACGAGGAAGAGCAGCACTTAGAAGAAAAGGAAAATATCTCCCCGTGAGGGTGGGGGTGGGGATTTGTGTCAGAGAAGAAGACCTTTCTCCGCAAGACTTTGAAGAGCTATTACTGCCCACTGAAGGGAGATAAAATTGAAATATGTCTGTGTTCTCATAAAGAAGTTTTAAATGGCTTTGGACTAAAAGTGTGTGTTTATGTCAGAGTTATTCATATTTCCATTTAGCACCGAGTGCCCAAAGAGTACCACTCCAGAGAACCAAGAATAAACTTGACCTTTCGGACAGTTTATCCTGACCCTCGAGGGGCGCACTGGTGATGTGAGATCCTGGAGAGAGGAGCCATGCTGAGACTGAGCAAACCTTCCTCCATGAAGACACTTCCAGAGGCTGGTCCAGCTGCTCTCGTGGCTGTTTGGAGGATGAGGATGGGATTTGCTTCCCAGCTCGGAGTCCTATTAAGTGACAGCCTGCAGTTTGTGTTCAAAATACGTTTACTGTGGGAACAGTAATCCCTAATCACATTTTGAAATCACATATTTTCTTTAGGCAAATTAAAAACCGCTGTGGCTGTGTTTACCAATGATTTTGCCCATAAGCCGTTTCCCCTGCCTGCCCTCTCCGGTTTCGGTTGAAGAAATATGAATGGCCTTTGCCTCCACGGGAGGGTAAATCCACATCTTTGTTCCTTGTGCCTGTAGCAAAGTGGAGATAGTAATACACATCAGTGACTCGGGAGCCTTCCACAGGCAGACAGCTGCTGCAACCCAACAGAGCTTTGTTGAAGTCTGCCTCGACTCCTGAACATCTTGGCTTATGTGCTGTGGTAATGGAAATCTCCATACTCTGGGAGTGCTTTATTTAACCGAGTCTCCTTGCCTGTCCATCTCCCTGGGAGACACGCAGACAGGTTTCAGGCCTCTGAGTGAAGAGCAGAGGTGGTATTCTCCAGTGTATCTCCAAGCCGCCCCCTGGACTGCTTGTAATACAAGAGGAAACTGTCCCCTCAAAGGGAGGAGAAATTGAGTGATGTCATGAGAAATTTCAGCTGAAGAGCGGCAAATGCCCTGCTAGTGGCAGCTGTTCCACATAGATTAGTTCCTCCCTGGAGAATTACTTGAGTCACTTAAACCCAAGCCAGATAGGAGTGGGAGCCGTCCTGCAGGGAACAGACTCAGTTACCTTAACGGTGCTGTCCCTGTAGAGTTCAGTAGCCCCGTGACTAAGGCTTTTTTCTGACTCAGTGTTGTTTTCTGTACACGCTCCCGAGATTCAAGGGTTCGTCTCTGATGTCACCAAGGTTCCCAAAACAGAGCGGCTGCCCCTTGTTGCATCATAAAAGCATGTGTCTTCCTGACCCCTCAACTTCGGAGCAGCATGCCGGATCAGTTCCAAACCAAGACAGAGGAAACCAGAGAGAAAGAGGATGGATTAACGTGGCTGAAAGTAGGGTGAGGGAGTTAGAGTCTCCCTAGCGCCCCAGGGGGGAAATCTACCCAGCCTTCTTGCTTTTTGGGCTTGTTTCCATTCCATGCTGTAAGACTGATGAGCCCCAGGATCATGATAAAAGGCCAGAAGGCAGATGAATGCCTTGCCTGGCCAGGTGCTGTTCTTCTCTGTCAAGCTCTGTGACTTCTTGAACCAGAGTCTCTTTCTCTTAAATGTTGTTGCATGTGTGTAGCTCCTTTGTCTAAGACACACCAAATACTTTATAAAATCTGAGCATCACAGTAAGCCTCCTGTGAGAGAGATACAAATTACCACAACAATAAAACAAAACCCATTTAATTCCTAGCTTTCCTGCAGTTCAGACACACACAACCTGGCCAGGGAGGTGCAGCCAGCTTTGGCTGTGAGTTGGATGCGTGACCCTGGGGACATTCCTCTTGCATTCCCACAAGTGAAAGAGCCAGGAGATGACTCCAAGTCTTGTTACCACATCCCTCCCAATTCAGGCCGTGCATTGCGTCAGCTGCAGATTTGATCTCTTCCCTCATCACGGCCGTGTCTGTCAGGGAAACAAATTCCTGGCTGCCTGGGCCACCACCTGGGTTTCTTCATCTGAGAGCAGCAGTCTGAGGTGGTGTTTCTGGCTGTCCAATGGCAGAACAGCCACTCTTCCTACTACTAAGGTAATGTCCCTTCTGAAATGTCATGGAGGTCGTTGCCATAGAGTAAAAGGACAGGGTTCAGAACTGCACAGGAATGCCAGACCCTGGCAGAGGATGCCCATGCTCAGTGACTGCACCAACCTGTTGCTGTGTTTTACTGATTGTAGATCTTAACTAGGAATTAAGGCCACAGCTCTTTTTGCCAGCATTACTTGTTAAAGTTGAGGGAACAAATAAAGCAGCTGTAGCATGAAGGAAAAAACAGGTCTGGTTTTTCAGCTGCCCTGTTTTTGAGCTTTAATAACCTGCTAGGACAATTTAGTAACCATGCTAGGAGCTTCCCTGGCGGCTCAGACAGTAAAGAATCTGCCTGCAATGCAGGAGGCCCTGGTTCAATCCCTGGGTCAGGAAGATCCCCTGAAGGAGGAAAATGGCAACCCACTCCAGTATTCTTGCCTGGGAAGTCCCATGGTGGGCTACATACAGTCCATGGGGTCGCATAGAGTCAGACATGACTGAGCGACTAACACGGGAGCTTCTTATACATAATCCCTAACCCTCCTTGAAGCCCTGCCAGAACCAGCTGCTGTTCCCATTGTAGGGATGAGGCAGCTGAGTCTCCAGGAGGTGAAGTCATCTCACAGGATTTGTGAATGGCAGAACCGGAACATAAAGCACAAGCTAGTCCCCTAACTGTGCTGCTCCCTCGGGCATGCAGAATTTAGGCAGAATGGTCTAGTGGGCACCCCCAGGCCCCGAGCCTCTGGGCTTGCTCCTGCAGGGCTGGCAGCCCAAGCTCACCTCAGTGCCCTGCTGGCTGGGCTGACTGCCAGGCCACCCTGTTGGTCCCCTGGCTTTCCTGTGCACCAGGGCAGATGTCTGCACCTCCTTAATCAACACTGGCATCTCCTAGTCAGAAACTCTGCTGCCAACTGGACTAGAATTGTCCAGCTTAACAGGGGAGGCTCATTGGAGGGGGGGTACAATCCAATTTATGATGAATTAGACAAATTCTCCTCCAGCCTTCCTGGCAAGTGACTGAGAACGTGTTTCCTGACCATATCCAAGCAACCTTTCTGTCGTAGGCGGGTGGTCCCTTCTTCCCTTCATTCTTCCCTGTGAGTCATTTAGGGACCCTAATGCTTGGATTCAGCATCAGGCTTCCTCATGATGCTGGTCAGCAGACAGCCCGAGAAGCAGAGCAGGCTAGGCACTGAAAACGTGGGCCACAGGCAGCTGGCCTCCAAGCAGGCCTTGAAGCAGTCTGACAGTTCCCATCAGCTTGTGTCCTCAGTATTGAAATCAGGTTCCACGTTGTTGTCAGCTAAACCACTAATTCATGTGGCATTGATTCCTATTAAGTCGGGCTCACAGCTCATTAACCTGCTTGTGACACCCTCCCTGCTGCCTCCATGGCTGGCATGACATGCCCCTACCCCCTCCCGCCGTGAGTGGCAGGCCTCTCTAGGCCTGGCCAGTAAGTGGCACCATCTCCTGAACCATGTCATGGCAACTCCAGAAGAGTTACGTGGGCCCTGCAGTGAGCAGAAGGCTCTAGTTGGAGGGCTTCAGAGAAAGCCCCGACACATGATGGGTCCCTGCCCTACTGGCAATATTTCTTCCTTGAGTTTTGGCAGCTTTTACTTGGCTGCAGAATATCTGAGACCCATTTGCCTTTTCTGGTCATAAACACTTGTAGTGTTGAATCTGAAGTCTTGATTGCTTTATTTTCTTAACTATCTCTTTGAGAAAGTCAAATGTTTCCATAGTGATGCATTCTGTTGGTTGAAATCTTTACATATATGTGGTTCCACCCACATGATCTCTTCAGAGGGACCTAGTCTACAACTGTCCCCTGACCCCCCCCCCCCCATTTTCTCTTTTTCAAGGAACCCCTGTATGAGAGCCCTGTTGGTTTTGTGCTGCTGGAATCCACTCTTAGATACAATGATTCCTGTGTCAGGGGGTCAGAAAGAAATCATCTTGATGTTTATTCATGAGAGTGGAACACAGGCTAATGGTGCCTTTTCCAGCTGGCTTGGTACCACTGTGCCAAGTTAGAAAAGCCTTTCTCAGCCTGTGGCCACAGCCCCATGCTGGGCTGGGCCTTCAGCATAACTTGGGTCGTCTTTCTGTAGCCAACATTACCCAAAAGAGCGTTTTCTCAGGTGAGCCAGCTTGGAGCTGACCAGGGCCTGTGTGATAGTGTCATCATCACAGTTATTTAAATAATACTGTAATCATTGCTCTCACTCCCCCTCCGTGTAACGGTGATATCACAGTCCCTGGACACCAGGGACAGTCCCTGTTCTCATGTGGGCTCCACAAGTGTGGACGTGCTCGGGCAGGACCCTGGCCTCTGACCCCACTAATTTTTAACTCTGGACACAAATGCTAGGTTTCTAAAAGGGTGGGAAAGGTGAAAGCCAGAAGGAAGCACTGAGTCTTTACTGGACCTATTGCATGCCTGCTCAGTTGTGTGCAACTCGTGACCCCGCGGACTGTAGCCCACCAGGCTCTTGTGTCTGTGGGCTTCTCCAGGCAAGAATGCTGGAGTGGGTTGCCGTTTTCTCCTCCAGGGGGTCTCCTGACCCAGGGATGATCCTGCATCTTCATTGCAGGCAGATTTTTTTTTTTTTTTTACCGCTGAGTTAGGACATAATTTGATTGCTTAGTTTTTTTTTTTCTTTTTAAACAGATGAGGAAACAGGTACGTAGAGGATAGTTCAGATCCTGAGATTGGGCATCCCTGCTGTTAAGGGCGGTCTCTGCACCGCCCGCCCGCGCCCCCGCCATCCCCGTGCCCCCTCTCCCCGCGCTGGGCTGGGGCTGGAGGGACTGCGCATTCTCAGCCCCTTTCACCAGCAGGCAAAACCTTGGCTCCGTGCCCGGAGCCGGGAAGCTTCTTCCCCCCTGGGGAGGGGGATGGGCAGGAGGAAGTGGTGGGCCAGGCGCGGGGCTCTGGAGTGCCGCGTGATCAGGTTGCAATTAGCCGCCCACTGCAGGAAGGGTGTGGGCGAGCGCTGTGACATGCGCCTGCCGCGCGGCGCCTCTGATGCTCCAGGCGCCCCTGAGAAGGAAGGCGAGCGGCAGCCTGCAGGAGCAGCCTTCGCCGTGGAGACAGAACGGCGGTCTCGCCTTTCTCAGAGGCTGTGGCAGGAAGGCCCTCCCCAGGAGGCTCTGCAGCTCTGATGACTGAGTCCCTCCCTGCTCCCCCTGCCCGCAATCTGCACGTGTATGGGACCATCTGGGAAGGGGATCCACACCCTCCAAAAAGCCATTGTGGGTGGAGGACTGTATCCTCTCTTCCTGGAGAACGTTTCTGGGCCGGGTGGGCAGATGAAAGATGCCCTGGGGGCCTCCCTAACTGGCAGGGCCCGTTCAGGCCAGCTAAGCATCCAGCCAGATCTCAGGAGAGGCCTGGAGAGGAGGAGGGCCCCCGGGAAAGGTCTCCCGCAGGCCCTTGTTGCTTAGAGAACGCTTTGCTGGAATGTTTTCTCCGAAAACATATCAAGGGATGAGGCACTAATTTCTTCCCTGCACCTTCTCGCTGAAGGTAGCTGTTAGCCCCTCTTCACCTGGTGTGAAGGTGGAAAGGAGGACAGCTAGTCTAGAGGCAAAAATCGGGGGCAGGGGAGTGGATGAAGAGGAGTCTGAATGTGTGGCTTCCCTTTGCTACCCTGCTGGCCCCCCAGTCTGGCTCCTGGAGGCCTCCTCTGCCTGCGGGGAGAGGGGCCAGAGAGAAGGGCAGGCGCACCCTTCCACACCTTGCCCCTTGTCTCCGGAAGTCCCGTGAGGGTGGGACATCCCCACTGGACAGATGCTCCTCTGACGGCCACCTAGGGCCATGCTGGCAGAACCAGCATGAACACCCACAAGGGCCTAGGCCGGTGTCCTTTTCATCACTCTGGGGTTCTGTGACCTCCTCTGAGACCCCCAGCTAAAAACAGAACCTGGTGACAAGAGGGAACCTGGGCACAGACAACCCCAGAAGGTCACAGTGCCTGTGGGGGCAGCCCTCGGAGGACTGGTATGGGCGGTCTCCCTTGTCGCACCAGCCAGGTGGCTGGGTATGTGGCGAGGATCCCTGCTGCCCCTCCAGGTGGCACCCTGCTGCTGAAGACAGTAAGCCGAGCTCTGCACCAGCGGCTCCAGGGAGCTGGCCGGACAGCTTCTGGTGGGACTGCCTCAGAGCCATCCTTCCAGCTGCTGAGTGCAGCCCCCGGGGGAGGTGGGGTTAGGAAGAGCTTTGACACACAGGGCTCCCCTGGTGGCCCGGCTGGTAGAGAGTCTGCCTGCAGTGCAGGAGACCTGGGTTTGATCCCTGAGTTGGGAAGATCCCCTGGAGAAGGAAATGGCAACCCACTCCAGTGTTCTGGCCTGGACAATTTCATGGACTGTATAGTCCAGTTCAGTTCAGTCGCTCAGCTGTGTCCGACTCTTTGCAACCCCATGAATCGCAGCACGCCAGGCCTCCCTGTCCATCACCAACTCCTGTAGTCTGCCCAAACCCATGTCCATCGAGTCAGTGATGCCATCCAGCCATCTCATCCTCTGTCGTCCCCTCCTCCTCCTGCCCCCAATCCCTCCCAGCATCAGGGTCTTTTCCAATGATTCAACTCTTCGCATGAGGTGGCCAAAGTATTGGAGTTTCAGCTTCAGCATCCGTCCTTCCAATGAACACCCAGGACTGATCTCCTTTAGGATGGACTGGTTGGATCTCCTTGCAGTTCAAGGGACTCTCAAGAGTCTTCTCCAACACCACAGTTCAAAACCATCAATTTTTCAGCGCTCAGCTTTCTTCACAGTCCAGCTCTCACATCCATACATGACTACTGGAAAAACCATAGCCTTGACTAGACGGACCTTTCTTGGCAAAGTAATATCTCTGCTTTTAAATATGCTGTCTAGGTTGGTCATAACTTTCCTTCCAAGGAGCGTCTTTTAATTTCATGGCTGCAGTCACCATCTGCAGTGATTTTGGAGCCCAGAACAGGAAGTGACACTGTTTCCACTGTTTCCCCATCTCCAGGGGCTTGCAAAGGGTTGGACATGACTGAGCTACTTTCACTTTCACTTTGACACACCCTCTGTGTCCCAGCTTCTACCTCTGCCAGAGCCATTGCTGATTGAGCCTCACCTTGAGCCAGGCTGATGTGGCCTTGAATCCCATCTGTCCTTCCCAGGGAGCCACCTTGGGCCCCACCCATCAGCTCTCAAGCCTCAGTCTCCTCACTTGTGAAATGGATATAGGAGCAGCCACCTCTCAGAGGTCTTGTGAGGGGCGAGACCCTGAATGTGACATGCCCGACAGTCACATGCTTAGTGGTGTAATTGTTTCAGGTAGAACGTTCCACATGCCCTGCCAGCCCCGACCCTAACCCCTGTGCTGGGCAGGCAGTCCCGCTGTAACTGATGGATGGCCCTGCGACCCTGCCCTTCCCCTTGCGAGGCTCCCTGGGTGCCTGCATCTCCACTGCAGTCAGCAAGGAGAGGCCCAGCGGCTTCCGGAAGGAAGGGCAAAAGGGAAATTGTGCACAAGGAGGCTGATCGGTTAGGATCCAGCTGCACTTCCTAGTGTCTCCTGGGAAGGTCTTTAGCCGGAGCTGAAGAGTGCTCGCAGATGCCAAAGTGGCCTTGCATCGAGGCTCAACTGCTCTCCGCAGCCTTACCACATGCTCCCCAGGTAATGGGTCTCTTGATGCCCCCGCGCTGGCCTGGTTCCCCCGCCTCTCTCCACCGCAGCCCCCCTGCCCCGCCCCGGGGTCAGTTCCCGATGTTTCCCAGCCTGGTGAGCAGGTCACAGGTCAGTGTGACGCACCCCCACCAGTCACATTGTTTTCTTATCCTTGCAGGCCATTTCTGGGTTCTGTACAGAACGCTTTGGCCTGGAAGCATAAACAAGATTACCAGGCAATCTTGAATCAGGAATTCTGTTTAAGACAGGGCTTTTATGTCCAGAAATTGTTAACTTGTCCAGAAATTGTTAACTGCAGTGGGGAACATATAAAAGGGAGACACGATCCTTCCTATTACAGACAGAAGTAAACCAGCATGGCTTTTATTTTCTCCTTCAAAATTAGTTTTTATTCCTAACTACAAAAGGAGTATGTGTTCTTGGTAAGAAATGTCAAAGAAAGATACAAGGGAAAAAAAGAAAATCATTTCTGACTTTACACTGGAGTTGACAACTCTTCACATTTTGCAGTGGATTTTTTTCTCTACATATTTGTATCCTTGAAAAAAAAGAAAAGCAACTTCATACTGACCCGATCAGTGTGTAGCCTTTCTCTACTATTTTGTAAATTGCTGCGTGACATTAATTGTTATTCCCTAAGGAGTGACAGCTTAAAATTGTAAAGATAGATACATCATTATATAACGAGGCTGTTGTCTTAGATAATTCAGTCATTGTTGAGGTTGGAGTTGCTTTTGCTATTTGTAACCATTCTGTTGATTTTGGAAGTCATGAGAGTGGATGGTGGGGTGGTAATATAGCTAAGAGCCCAGAATATGGCCTCAATCAGACCTGAATTCAAATAATAAAAGAAGGGGATTTCCCTGGTGGCCCAGTGGCTAAGACGCTGCACTCCCAATGCAGGAGGCCTGGGTTCGATCCCGGGTCAGGGAACTAGATCGCCCATGCTGCAACTAAGACTTGGCACAGGCAAGAAAAAAAAAAATTGGAAATGTTTAATCAAACAGAAAAAAAAAACCCAAATAATAATAAGTAACATTTTTATAGAGTCTGAATATTGTGCCAGACACTGTGTTAAGTGCTTTACATGTATTAACACATGATTTTTAAATCCATACAACAGGCCATAGACTAGGCATTATTTTTACCCCTTTTTTACAATTGATGAAGCTATCAATTGTATGTAAGCTAATGATGAAGCATTAGCCCTCCACTTATGCAGCCATCCTGTGGTGAAACCTTTGTGCACATATATGACTGTTTCTTAGAATACCTTCCTGAAAGTAGGGTCCTGGCCCAGATTCAGAAAGGTATACATATTTTTTAAAGCCTTGAATATATAATATATTTCAAGTGGCTCAGTGGTAAAGAATACAGCTCCCAATGCAGGAGACACATGAGATTTGGGTTCGACCCCTGGGTCAGGAAGATCCCCAGGAGTAGGTAAATGGCAACCCACTGCAGTATTCTTGCCTGAAAAATTCCATGGACAGAGGAGCCTGACAGGCTACAGCCCATGGGGTCACTAAGAGTCTGACACAGCTGAGCAACTGAGCACGCATATATAATGTAAATGACTTTCCAGAAAGGTTGCCCCAACTTCTACCAACAGTGTTTGAGTGTATTTGAGAAATTCATGCCATGCTTTAAGCAACAATAATGTGCCTGGCCGGTGTTCTAGCAAGTTTCTGTCCGTGAAGGAGAGACTGTCCTGTGCCCGGCAGAGAATAAGCAAGCACTCAGTAGATTTTAGCCCGCATTAGCACTGTTCTCACGTGATGTGTCATTTGTTGAGTAAACAAGTCACGTACTTGAAGAACCTTCATAACAAGGTGAATGTGGACTGAGGGGCCCTGACAGGGAGTGCTCCAGGTGTTGAAGGACTATGGGATGTAATTTGGGATAGTAGTCATGGAAGGCTTCTTGGTCGAGGGGGCGCTCAGAGAATGGGACCGAAGACCGTGAAGTGACAACCTGAAGGCTCATGAACAGTGGAGCCCTGAGTGGCTTGTGTCCAGGGCTCAGGTATGAGTGTTGAGCTGGAGGAGAGACAGTGAGAGAGAAGATGGGCCCAGATCAGGTCTGGGAGCTGCCCCAGGCAGAAGGCTGTGGTGGTGCAGAGCCTCTGAGCACGGAGACATTTAGGAAAATAGTTTATCAGGAGGGAGCAAGGGGGTGGGGCTGGAGGTGGGGAGACCTGTGGGAGACCAGGGCGGCGGCCCAGGCAGAGGGGCCTGGGTGTGCTGCCCTGTAGATACTCCCGGAGCAGTGAGGAGGAAAATATGTCTGGTTTTCTGGGGCCTGGAGTGCTGCAGCAAAAGAAAAACAGACGCGGGACTCAGCCACGAGGTCAGCATGTGGGCCGGAGCTGGACGGGAGACCTTGGCTTCTATCCACGCCACGGTCAGACCCCTGATGCCCCCTCACCAAGTCCGGGCCTCGGGCCCCCTGTTCAAGGAGAAACAGCACAGCAGGCTCTGACCCGCCAGCTGCC